GGAGATCCGTTACCATTCTTTTCAGAATCTCCCACCCCTACATCGTCAGGTGTAAATATTTTTGCCTAAAGGCCGACTGACTCCCCTGACCTCTTTAGGAACCCGTACGTCTTTCCTCCAATTCCGTTAGTAGGTCAGTCTTAAAATTTCTCCGCTCCTTCTCCCGCCTCCAGTTCACGTTCGTTGTATTTGATATCCATCCAAGGAAATACTGGTGGCCTATTGTGTCTAACTCAATCATATATTCTACTAAACTTTGCTCAAAGGGGGACACACATGCCTTGTTAGCCCCCTCCTCTCAAGGCTTCGAATGCTACTCCTCCCCTTGGGATCTGTGGGTTTTTCGATTCTAATGTACCTTAGAAATGCCAACGCTTTGTGTTAAAATAAATGAAGGAAAATGTATCTGACACAGTCCTTTTATTTCTCCTTCCCCACTCAGGTGCTACCGCATGTCGCAAGGCTATACGTGCCTGCCGTATCCTGTCCACTATGCGAATATCCAAACGACGAGAATTTTCGGTTTTGCCAGATGTGTGGCTTTAAGCGAGAAAATAAATGTTCGCCCACATGTGATCCAGCTAGTGTTGATCTGGCTACCACTGATGATAGATTGAAAAACCTGGATAAGAAATGCCCTTCACCGAGTTACGCAAGGCAAAAGTCATCGTTACGGCACGAGTTCGAATCTTTCCTTGCGGGTCTTCCTGGCGAAAAATGTCTGTTCTCCGCCATTCCCACTGATGTCTGTCGTTTCCTGGTGTGGAAGGACAAAAATGGACAGTGGTTCGAGTTTGGGTGTCTTTATTTGGTTGTTTGTAGTGGTAAAATATGTCAGGTATAGAAGAAGAATATCGTTTATTAAATAAAACACTTAGTAGTCTTACGACTGAATTGCGTGTTAAAATTTACAATATATAATGAAATAGGTAAAGAATAATATTAGAATGTAAAAAAGTATTATAATAAAATATATATATAAATATTTAAAAGATAAATATTGTAGATTCACTGAATTATAAAGGAATTAGTATATACAAAAAGTTAAGATGAATGGCTTACAATAAAACTGTTTCTAAATCGATTAGTTTTGCATATAGGTGTATTGAAAAGTCGTTGCCGTCTAAAATTCCTTGAGTGAGTAATTCTGGGTGGTAATAAATTATGTAACTTATGATTAGAGTTGTTATTAATGTTCTTAAAAAGTTCTTGACATAGTACTTTTCTCCGGTTGTAAAGTGTAGGAAGTCCCGTACTGTCCAAACTGTCTTTATAGCTGCTATCAGGGAAAATGATTTTCAAGGCGCGACGCTGAATCCTTTCGATTTCCTGTGACAAGTAAGCAGGAAGGCTGCTGTGGAAAACTTGGCATGCGTATTCTAACACGGAACGAATAACACTGCAATAAAATCTGACAAGGTCTTTAGTGGCGATTCCAGCGCGTTTGAGTTGCCTTAATA